AGTGCTATATTAGAATGATACTATATTTTATAACTTCTGCTCTAAATAACACAGATTCATTACAAATTAATTTCTAAACCTTTCATAAATGAACTTTATTTTCATGAGATAATTATAACATGTTCTACATTAATCACCAACCACAGTAAGTATCTGAATATGACACTAATAATTATGCTCTCGGTCTATAAGATTTTACAACTCCAAAATTAGGCTTATTGGTTATTTTTGCATATTTTTGTAGGTGTGTAAAAAATTAACTGTCTGAATAATGAAGTCATTTCCAGAGTCAGGGAGCTCCCTGCATTGAGATTTATAAGGCTCATCTGAGCAAGATGCTAGGAAGCTTTAAGTACCTTAAGCCCAATTTTTAGTCCCTGATAATTACAAACTAAAGAAAAAAATATTATGATAGCATAATATATCCTTATTGGTTCCCTATTCCAACTTCAGCTACAGTAATTCAATCACATTTTATGTACTTTATATTTATCATTGTGAATAGTGCTACAATAAATATGGATAGATGCCCAAGTATCTCTGTGGTATATGCACCTAGATTTATTTAAAGTATTCAAATATGTATATAAATATATGACCAATAAGTTCATCCTCTGAAAATTAACTTTTCATTGCATTATCCCATTTATTTACTTGGTTATTTAATTTGGGGGAGTTCTTTGAGTTCCTTATACATTCCAGTTATTGGTTACTTGTCTGATAATTAGCAGCTATTTATCTTATTCTATACGGTTTCTTGACACATGATTTTTATCTTGCTGTGCAGAAGCCTTTTCATATCATGCAATCCAATCTATGAATACTTGGTATTTTTTCCTGAGTGATTAAAGTGTTTTTAGGCAGTCCTGGCCTGTGACTGTATTTTCAAGTGTTTTACCTATATTGCCTCTGTTTTAGAGGTTCAGTTCTTATAGAAATCTTTGACCAATTTTGAATTGATTGACTTGTGCAGGGTAAGAGACAAGGAGCTAGTTTCATTCTTCTATTTGCTTTCCTAACATATGTTTTGGTGTCAATCTTGTCTTCTTTGTTTGTGTAATTATTTAATGCATTCAACAAGATTGATTTTATTTAAAATGAATTTGGAACAGAAGATATTTGTTAATCTAAGTAGTTCTCTATGATGTTACCATTATATTATGGCTTTACTATATACTTTGTTACATAATATAGAACTTCTGTATTAAAATACATGTAAATTTGCCATCTAAACCATTCGGGAACACACAATTTGATGACCTAATGCATTTACAATGTTGTTCAACAATCACCACTATGTAGCACCTGAACACTTTCATTACCCCAAAATGAAGCCTCCTGCTCATAAAGCAGTTACTGCCTATTTCCCCTCCCACAATCCCCAAGTAATTATTAAGTGAGTTTATCTGCAGGGATTTGTATATTTTATATTAATAGTCATATGTATATGGTCTTTTACCATTTTTCAATGTTCACCCTTGTTTATCATGTGTTAGTACCTGTTTCTATTTTTTTAAAAAAATTGAGACAGGCTCTCTACTGTAATCCAGACAGGCCTTGAACGTGTGGGAGATTTCCCACCTCTGCATCCTGAGTGGAAGTGATTACGGATATTAGCTACCACACCATGCTTTATTCCTTTAAGGAACTGAAAAATACTCTATTCTATGAATATAATACATCCTTTTTATCTATTCAATAATTGATGGTTGTTTTCACCTATTGACTGCTATGGACATTTGTGTGTTTTTAATTACTCATTTGCAATTGTTTTAGGTAATACATCCATACATAGAATTCTAGCTCAGATAATAAAATTATTTTATTTGCATTTCTGTTTTCAAATACTGGGTAATACTTGTTCAAGAAAATATTTTGGGCTCCAGGAATACTGTATTTGATATAGACTGGATGATTCATTAACTAAAAATAATTTGAGCTCTAGCTTTTGATGGACTTGGTTCCTCCGTATAGAAAATAGCAAGGAGATAGATAGCCTGTGAGTAATTCTCAAACAGTACATATAAGAATTACTTAGTCTCTATAAGAAAGATAGCTGAAAAAGCCAGAGAAAGCAGGCCAGTAAGCAGCATTCCTCTGTGATGTCTGTGTCAGTTCTGTCTTCCAGGTTCCTGTCCTGAACTCCTGCCCTGTATTTTCTTGATGACAAATAATAACCTACAGGCTGAAATAAACCCTTTTTCCTTCACAGGCTACTTTCGTTCATGGTATTTATGACAGCAACAGAGAGCAAACTAGAACAGAATTTGTGGTCTTGCCATAATAGACCTGACCATGTTGTTTTGGGGAGGATTATGGAAGTGTTTGGAACACGGGCCTGGAAAAGCCATTGAGTTCTCACAGCTTAATGGACTATTCTGTGGGATCTTGGAAAATTAAAATGCTGAGGGAAACGCAGAAGAAAGAGGCCCAAATTGTGAAGTTTCTGTGGCAAGTAGACTATCAGGGCTGCTTTTGTGATATTTTCAATTAAGAATCTATGGAAGTGAAACCTTCTGCTTCACTTTGACAGTGGATACTGATTAGCTGATTATTAAGAGACCTTTATCACTGAGGTGAAATCATCTGGGTAGTATTTCCTCAGAGCCAGCAAAAAGAATCTGTGTTGGGTGGGGAGAGCAAGGCTATATCTCAAACTGGAAGCCAAACAGACAGGTATAGGAGTCGCCCATATGGTACTGGTTTTCAAAGCGTGAGATGGTCATGGAGAGAGCTGGTGCTTGGCACTGTGTTGCCAGAAAAGGCTGTTGGAGAAGTTCAAGGTCATTTGCCTTAAAGAGCCCAGGACTTAAGGGGTCAGGGAAAGAAGCCAAGTCTTGGCATCCTGATAGGCCATGGGAAGCCACTGTTGAAGGTGTAGCCTCAGTTGCAGTGGAGACCCAAGAATTTTGTAGATGCAAGGGCCATGACATGGCTGCTAAGGACAGTAGCAGGTATGGAGTGGAGAATCCGTTACAACAGAGGGACATGGCAGAAAGCAGCAAAATGCAACCAGATCAGAAAACTGATGGGTCATCTCTTCAAACCTGAATTAGTTGCAGAGAATGAAACTGGAAGTTGAAAAAGCTGGACACTCACCTTCTTTCTCCAGCTAGACCACACCAACTAAAAACTCCCAAAACGGCACCACCAATTGCAGACAAAGTGTTCAAATACTTGGAGCATATGGGGAGGCATTCTCATTCAAGCCACCAAAATTTCAGAGTATAGTTCCTTTTAAGTGCTATATTATTGTTTTTACTAGTGCGTTTTTCAATTAAAAAGTTCTTTGCTCATCAGAGACATTCACATATCATTTCACTTTCCTATATACTTTTAATGACAAATCAATGCTGGCCTCGTTAAATGAGTTTGGAAGTTTTTGTTTATCTTCAAGTTTTGAAGTGTTTGAAAAAGATCAGTGTTAAATCAGGTAAAAGCACTGGCTTCCAAGACTGATGCCTTGATTTTGATCTTACAAGGTGGCACATGTTCACACACACACACACACACACACACACACACACACAGATAAAGTGTAATTTAAAATAACTTTAAAACATTGGTAGAATTACTAGTGAAACCATCTGGCTGATTTAATCCTATTGCTAGTTATTAGTATAGTCAATTTTCAATTTACTTTTCAGTCACTTGTAGAGATTTTGGTTCTCTAGATATTTATCTCTCTCCTCCTAGGCTGCCTCTTAGTTTGGGACTGTGGTTGTTCATACACATTTTCTATCATCATTTTGATGTAGCATTCATTATAATGTATCCTTCATTTTGCTTAATTTAAATATCTTTCTTTTGATGTAGTGTGGCTTAATCTCTGTTGACATTTTCAACAAAGCACCTCATGCTTTCACTGATTTTTACATGTTTTTTGTCATTTATATCTCTAATTGTGTAACTTTTTCTGATAAATTTGAGTGTAGTTTGTTTTTCCTAGACTTTATGGAGATGTAGTATAAGGTTGATTTATTTTTGAATGAGTTTGAAAGGGTTGATATGAATTCTTCTATGAATGTTAGAAGCTATTTGATGTTGGAGGCTACTTTCTTTAGAATTTTTAAAATTATTTTTACAATATTTTTATGGGTCTCTTCACATAGTCTGTTTCTTCTTGATTCAATGTCTGTAGTCTTTATTTTTCTAGGAATGTGTGAATTTCCTTCTTAGTATTCCAGTTTTCCTGATATTATTTAATATCCTTTTATATACTAGTTATATAATAACTGTAATAGTCCATTGTTTCTGAAACATCCATTGTTTATTTTAGTGTGTCAGTTTTTAAAGGACTCTAGGCTGAGATGTAGGTTGGCTGATAGAGTGCTTGGCTAATATACAGGAAGCCCTGGATTTGATCTCCAGCATACAAAACTTGTCATAATGGTACATGCCTACAGTACCCATACTACAGCGGTGCACACAAGAGGATTAGAATTTTTAAGTCACCCTCTGCAACAAGTTAAAGAATTACCTGAACTACATAATACCTAATCTCAAAATTCTTTAAAGTTGGAAACGAAGCATGGCAGCACACCCTTGTAATCTCAGGTTTTAAATTGGTTTCTAGGTTCCTCACAAAGGGCATTCTTCCCTATATTCTTGCTGACCCAGTGTCTCTAGTAGGAGATGAAGGATTTATGAGTTTCTGTGAGCTCCTGGTTGTCATTGTGCTATTATAATCCTACTGGTCGCCCTATGTTTTTTGACTAATTTAATATATACCCATCATTCCCTAGTGCTGGTTTTAAAATATTTAAAGCAACACTGATAATGCTGACCAATGTAATGTGGGGTAACCCTTTGTAAAATATTTTCCTTGTCTCATGCATTAATATGATGACTGTACTCTGGCTACTTATTTTACAAATGACAAAGTGAGGTACAATTCCTGAATTGCTGAACCCAAATAGAGCTGTGATTCCAAACCAAGTCATCAGGTTCTCACAGGTAATGATCAAATTTGATGGATTATATTTATGCTTATTTTCCAGATATTATGACCCATTTGTGGCCTATTTTCTACCAGGAAGTGATCAGGACTTTTTTGTAAAGCCTGATTCTGGAAAACTTCCTCCATTTTACACTGAAGGAATTCTCATTGTCATAGGATTCAAACCCCAAATGTACAGTAAGAAATATCATGCAACACTTGTAATACAGGTAAGTAATAAGGGCAAGAATGAAAAATGTTTGCTGCCACTAAAAGCTATAAGTGTACCAAAAAGAAAATATTCCACCCAATGACTCAAGACAATTACAATATTGCCTTGCAAAAATCACTTTACTTCAATTGCTCTCTCTTGTTTAACTTTCCTTTCTCCAAGTCAAATAATTTAAATATTGAATATAACAGAAAATTTTGTTAATGCCAGGAAAAATTAATAAACTACTTACATTTAATGTTAAGAAAATATGGCAAAGACAAAATTTATAGATGATTTGTAGTCACATAACATTTCTGAAAAATTTTGTTCAAGGACTGTACATTACTTGAAACAAACCTTTTAAAAAATTATTAAAACATATTGTCAAATAATTTTGAATTGAAGAAATATATTGTAAATTGGACCATTTCTATAGAAAATAGTGATATTTTGCTAAATAGTTAAGGTACATACAGTATGGAAAATATATTCAGTAAAGGGAGTTTTTCTATAGAATTGCATACATACTTTGTAGTACGAAGTTTTAGGCTAAAGACAACGTTTAGATTATTTTGGAAAAGAAAAATAGTACAACAGTTTAGTTTCAGTACACAGGCCCAAAAAGCATGTTATCATCTTATCACCCTACAACTCCTGCTACCAAAGAAATCTCTAGACTTTTAAATTAAATATGATTAGGTACTGCCATCAACAAAAAATATTTTAAATATTGTTGCAATAAAAACTTGGATACTCATTGAGAGAGCAACTTCTGTTTATTTTTTATTAAGAATTTGGAACACCTAAGACATGATAAAATGGAGCCTCTTTTGCCTTGCATTGATAGTAGATACTTTGATGAAGCTTATATGAGAGTCAAGTTGACATTGAAACATGCATTGTAGAAATGATAGGGAAGCTTGATGAAATCACCACATTATGGTGATCTAATATGATATGCACAATGAAAAAAACAGTTGACATGCCAAGGTGGTTGTGGGAAAGTTTACGGAATCCCACCTCTAGATGATGAGATACAAGCAATCAATGAATGCTGAAGGAGGAGAATCATTTTCTTACAGGAACTAATATACTGAGAGGTAATCCCAAATGAGCAACCCTAAAATCAGGTATGCACAAGAACCACTAGATAGACTAGAACCCTTATATACATATATATGTATTTTTATTATATGTATAACTGTATATGTAAGAATAACAATTAAAGCAGAAGCCAAAAAATTTGACAGGAATGTGGGAGGGAACATGGGACAGGTGGAGAGCACTAAGAGGTATAGAAATAGTGCAATTACAATACTCATGTATGTAATTATTATAAAAGAAATATAAAAATTACTAATGAATTAATTTAAATAAGTAAACCTAATGCAAAATAAATATGTAGCATAATAAATATATTACTGAATATACTTCAAAATACGTTTTTTTCTTTTTAGTCACATGTCAATGGTGCCTAAGAATGTTTGATATATATGTTAAAATTCTAATTTTTGACCTACAAAGTATCTCAGTGGGTAAAATTGCATGTTGCTATACCTGAGTACCTGATTACTTTTTCTGGAATCCACTTGGTAGAAGGAGGGAACCAATTCCTAAAATTTATATGCTGACCTTTACATGCATGCCATGGCACATGCATGTACACATACACACCCAAGCACAAACTATATAACCATGTAAAAACTAAAGCAAAATTCTAATTTCAATAATTAAAACAAAAAGCTAGGGAGTAATCAGAGGTGACACCTAATGGTCACCGCTGACTTCCTCAGTGCACATGCACACATATTCATGAGCACCTTCACACACATGTGTACATTTCCCATAAACACATACATGCACTAAACAGACTTAGAAAACTCCAAGTTTGGGCTGGAGAGTTGTTTCTGTGGTTAAGAACACTAATTGCTCTTGAAGAAGACTTGAGTTCTCAGTACCCACATGGTAGCTAATGACTGTCAATGACTCCAGTTCCAGTGTACCTGATGCCCTCTTTTGACCTCCATAGACACTGCACACACTTGCATACTCTTAGGCAAAACACTCATAAATAAAATTAAAATAAATTTTAAAACATTTAAACCCACCTTAAATATCAAATCATAAAATCTTCGTATTTATATAAAATTATGTGTATAAGATATATATATATAGTGATATAAAATGTATAAAATGTATGTCATGGGGCTGGAGAGATGACTCAATGGTTAAGAGCACTGGCTGCACTTTGCAGAGGACCCAGGTTCAAATCCCAGCACATATGTGATGGTTAACAGAAGTCCATAACTACAGTTTCAGGAGAGTCATTGCCCTCTTCTGGCCTCCATGGGCATTGTATGACATTGGTGCACTTACATACGTAGAGGCATAACACTTATACACACCAAATGAAAACAAATAAAAAAGTTTAAAGGATGTATTTTATATA